AGTGAGAGGGCTCGGGGTCTGCAGCAGGCCTGGGCTGTGTACCAGCAGCTCTGCCCCTTGGACCTAATGCCGGGAACACACACTGGCACACGGTGTGTCTAAGGCAAGTTGGGATGTATGGAGGGCCCATAGGAAAATGGGCCAGGGGTCTCTCAGGCTTTGAGCCAAATCAAGCTCTTGCTGGAAGAGATCTCTCCTCCTCTGGACGTGCAGCCAGTGGTCCTTATGGGGGCGCAGCACCTGCCCAGGGAGTACCAGAGGACCACAAGGCCTGAGCCGACCATCGGGAATTGCGTATTAACTTCCTTCCCAAGCCCTAAGGTGTGAGCTGTACTCTGTGATCATACAGAGGTGCTCTGCACGAGGTCCTTGCAACCCTCAAGGTCCGCAGTTCGAAACCACCAGCACCTCTTTGAGAGAAAAGACAGGACTTTCTACCCCTCTAACTAGTTATAGTCTCGGAAACTCACAGGGCGGGGGGCAGTGCCACCCTTTACTACAGGGTCACTCTGAGTCCGCATCAGCCCGATGGCAATGAGTTTGGTTTGTGTTTGGTTAGAGATGAGATCAAGTTCAAGGAAGTCATGGATTAGCAGGCGGGTTAGACTCATGGCCTCTAGACTCCTGCTGCATTGCCACTGAACCCTCCACCCACACTCAGGGCCCCAGAGAGGGTCCCCAAGACCATTTGGGGAGGAAATAGATGTATCTAGTTTACACATAGCGCTGTCAGAAATGTTGGCCTCTGCTGTCTGTGGACCTTGTAAGCAACTCAGGGGAAGGGCCGTGGAGAAGGAAATTCTTCCCAGTGGACAGATGTGCGTCCTTGGAATCCGCCTGCTTGCCCCCACTACCTGCAAAGAAAGGATGGCCTAAGGCTTGCCTTGGTGTCTTTATATGTGTGCGTGGACAGAGGTTAACCATTGGTCCAGGGGCTGGGGGAGTGACCCGAGGTCTGGGGAAGAACTGAGCTGGGATGTGAGACCATCAGCGTCCTCTGACAATGTTTCCCAAGGGACACCAGGAGTGCAGAGTGGTCAAGATGGCCCATTGTGTGGCCGTCCATCCGCCTCCGTTTGTGGTCTCATGTGGATGCACACTAAGTATCAGCTCGATGGAAGACCTGCCTCCTAACCTGCTGGCAGTGACAACGGCACAACGCTTGCGAATACGTTTCAACTATTGAAACTGCATGGGGGCCGGGTGACTTCGAGATCGATACAACTGTTAACCGTTTAAAGACAGAAGACAAGAACTGCACCTTCCTGAGAGGATCTGCCTGCACCTGCTGTTACAAGCCCACCCTGCCAGCTGGGGGAAGGGGGGCTAGGGCATGGGGACCAGTCAGCCACCAACTCAGCCCCACTGCATCCCTCCCATCACGGAAGGGACCAGCATTGATGCTGTTCCCATAGAGCTGTCAGGAGCTGGTCTCTCAGAATTCAATCCCCAGGCCTTCTTCCCAGGCCCCCCATGGTGGGGTGGGGAGTGGGGCGGGCACTAAGGGAACCTTCTAGCGTTTGGTTATTAGTCAGGGAGGGCCTCTCCATTTGTACCACCTGGGGGGCTCCCATGGTGGAGCCGGGAGGTCTTTCCCAATCCAACCGAACTCACATCCTTATAAAAAAAAATAGAGCAAGAGACACAGGGAGACCTGGAGGAACACTGCCAGGTGATGGCAGAGATGGGAGGTAGGCACGCACCTCCAGGCCACCCCCAGAAACTAGGAGAGAGGCGTGGACCTGTCCCTCAGAGTCCCCCACCAATGAGTCAGCCCTGCCACCACCCTGGTTCAGCCTCTGGTCCACAGAACTGCTGTGGCTATGCTGTCGTGGTTCTGACTCACAGCCACCCCGTGCACAGCAGGACAGAACGCTGCCCGCCCTGTGCCCTCCAACCATCATTCTGATGGCCGAGCCCACAGATGCAGCCCTGGTGTCCAGCCAGGCCATCCAGCGAGGGCCTTGCTCTCTGTCATGGCCTCAAGACTTGGTCAAGCACGACGTCCTTCCCCGGGGACTGGCCTCGGCTGACTACCTGTCCAAAGTAGGTGAGAGGATGTTTTGCCATCCTCTCCTCCAGGGGGCTGTGCTCTCTGGACCGTCCAGGGTACCGCAGTCTTCAGGACCACGATCCAAATGCACCGACGGTTCTTCCTCAGTCCTCCTTATTCACTGTCCAGCCCTCCAGAACCGAGACTCACAAATTGCTGTGATTTCGACAGAACGTGTGAATGTCCATGAAGACGGGGTCTTACAGAGACACCAGCTCCTGATTCCATCCTGGGCACAGGTGGATGGGGCACGGAGGCCACCGCAGCCAGGGAGCAATCCCCTCGGACCCACCCCCTGTCCTTGGACCTCCAGATCCCAGCTCTCCCTCTCTCCCAACCTCGAGACACCTGCTCCCTTCACTGGTCCTGGGTGACGACTTTCTCTCCCAACTGTCCCAGAAACCCGTGTCTCTGTCTTTTGCTGAATGGAAAAAACCTAACAACAAGGACACAGTCTTCTGCCACCCGCCTGACCCCGCCCCCCTCCAACTTCCCATGGCACTGGCCTCCGGGGACAGAGGAGCTGGGCCTCCAGCCAGGCAGGCAAAGCTGCTGAATGGTGGCGATTGTGCCGGCACCACAGCCAGAGAGCAACAGTGCCACCCTTTAGGGACAAGCACAGATGGTGCATGAAGCAGAGGAGGCTGGGAACTCTGCCGGGTGAACAGCAGGGGCGAGGTGGAGCCGGACTCCCGAATGGGTGAGTGCTGCATCAGGGGACCCCTCCACCAGGCCCCTGGGCTTGCTCCTTCTTCAGGTCGCTGGAGGGTGCAGCACACCCACCCCCCTGCCCTGCCCTGCGACCCCTGTGTCACTGGACCTCTCTGGGCATCAAGAGGGTCTTTAGTCCAGGAGGTCTGCAGCTCCTCCCTCACCCCATTAAGTAAGACTGTGCTTTTCTTTCTCTTAGAATCTCCTATTGCCTTCAGCTCCTGTGCTCACCCTGCCCCACCCCGCCCCCCTCTCTCCCTCCACCTCTGATGACAGCCAAATGGCATGGGTATTGAAGGTGAAGAGGCACCCTGACCTTTTACAAAAGGAGCCCTGGTGGCTCAGTGGCTTAAGTATCACACGGCCAACTGAAAGGTCCCCAGTTCGAACCCCACCAGCTGCTCCTCAGGAGAAAGATGAGGCTGTCTGCTTCTGTAAGGAGACTGCAAAGCTGCAAGGACAGTGGCTAGACCCTCGAGAAATCGACCCTAAAGTCAAGGTGGGGCGGGTGTGATGTCCCCATTCAGTCCTCTCCTGTGTGTGACCTTGGACAAGGTCTCACTTTCCTGGGGGCTCATCTACTCTGCAGTCTGGCTGTGGTGGACGGGGCACACCGTGTCCCAGCCCCATCCTGAACCACCCCTGGTCCCTAGGCATCTCTCAAAGCCAGGCGGTGGAGGGCGGCCCAGCAGGCCCGGAGCAGGGGAGAGGCTGCAGGTGACAGATGGAGAGGACCATGGGGAGGAGAGACATGGGGCCTGAATGCTGAAACCAAGACCAGCTACCTACAGCAAAAGGGGGATTTGCTTCAGCCTATCTGCTGCTTCTTGGATGGGGGTGCGGGCTGGGGGGCCTGTGAGCCTTGGGCTATGCAAAGCCGCTTCTCAGTGGGAGTGGCCGGGAGCCATCAGGACTGGCAGGTGGATGAGCAGGTGGCCAGCCATGCCCTTGGCTAGCCTCCACGCTCAGAGGGAATTTGCATTTCCCCCCAGCCCAATTGCAGAACAAACGGAACTGTGAAGATTCGTGCTTCACAATGAAGCTGTCTGTATGTAATTTTAACAATCCCATCATGTTTCTGACAGCTGCAAAGCCTATTTTCCTCCTGAAGATGGTGGGTGGTGGTGGTGTGAGCAGGTTCCCCCATCCCCCCCACCCCCAACATGTATTTATGTATTGGCGCTGCTATTTCTGGGTGATGCTCCAGGCGAAAGAAGAGGGTCAGGGACAGTGGGGCCAGGACATAATCAGACTGTCCAGCTGAGGGCAACAGAGTGCCGCAGATGGGCCCAGACTGAGCAGGTGAGGTAGAGGGGTGGTTGGGACTGGAGCCAGCTGGCAGGGACCCGGAGTGAGCTTCGCAGATCGAGGACTGGGACTGGGCGCCCGGGAGCCACGTTCACGGATGCCACACAACTGCACCTGTGTGGCTGCCCCCCTCTATGCCTGCCCCTCAGGTCACTCAGGGAGTTTCCCACACACACACTCCTGATCCAGCCTGGGAGGTTGGAATGGGCATTATCCCCATTTTCCAGGACGGGGGCCTCCAAAACCCCCAGCTTGAGAGTGGCCGAGTCTGCACCTTCTTCTTAGCAAAGCCCCCTGTGCCTCGGGTGGGCGTATGATCGTGTGAGTGTGGGCGGTGAGCGCATGAGTGCATGCGATGTGCATGTGTGTGGCCACATGTGCGTGGTGGGCTGGTGTGGATATGTGTGCTCGCTCGTGGAGGGCTGCACGTGCACAGGTGTGGGCGCACACCGGTGTGAGCGTGTGGCATGTGCGTGTGCGTGTTAGCACACAGGGGCCGCGGAAGGCCAATTCTGCATCTCTGTGTGTCACGCTCAGCAGACACTGACAGTGCCGGCAGTAAGCCTGGGAAACCATCTCGGCCAGTTCCCTCAAGACCGCCCCAGAACGAAGTCCCTGCAGTGGCCAGGCAGAGCTGAGAACACCTCATTGCCCACCTTCAAATGTGCCCTCCAGGTGGGCTCGGAGGACTCATGGATAAACATGGCCTCTCACCCTCCGCCCCTGGCACTCTCTTCCTGGCCACCCAAAGCTGAACCTTCTGGGCCCTCCCCCTCCCCTAGCCCCTCCCACCCCATGTACTTAGACACCTCTCCCAGCAGAGCCAGAGGTGGCTGGCCTGGTCTGGAGCTCTGGTGGACTGTGAACGCTTAGGACAGGACTCAGAGCAGCACCCCTGCCCCCACACCCAGCCCACCCCAGTCCCTACCTGAACCCTGTGGGGCGGCGCTGGACAGGATCCACTTGACCAGGCAGCACCTCATCAGGGTCTTGCGGGTGAGCCGTGGCCTCTGCCACTTGATGCTCTCCTTCTTGTTCAGCGGCGTGCGCCCGGGGTCCCCCAGCAGGCTGCCGTCGGATGCCTTCATCACCTCCTGCAGCAGAACAGGCAGAGTAGTCCTGAGCCATCACCTCGCAGAGGGGCCCTCCAGGTTAGAGGGGTGGAGTCTAGCCTGTCAATCTAGTCACAGCCAATGAGGTCTCTGTGTGGGCATGGCCTTCTCGTGAGGATTCTGGGAGTTTTCCTCTCTTCTTCCCAGGAAGGGGTACACACTCTGACTCTAGCTGCTTCCTCGTCCTGCTGACAAGCTGCATGGAACCAGAGCCCTGGAGCTGGAGGAGCCACGTGGAGACCCACGCTAGTGCTGAGATGCTCCCACCATCACTGGATCCACAAGACTTTCCACCCACTGGCAGATGATCTTCCATTGCCTGCGTTGCATGAGTCTAAAGAGAAATTTATAAACTGGTATCGGACTTATGGACTTGATCCTGGACTGGGCTGGGATGTTTTCTTAATATGCTATTACTCTTTGATATAAAGCTCTTTCTTATACACATCTGAGTGTCTGTGAATTTACTTCTCTCTTCTACCCCAACAAACACACTCACACAGACTCTCTCTCTCACACACACATGCCCACACGCACACATGGCGTGCACACACATGCGCACGTGCACACACACGGAGGTGAGCACACATTCACGCCCATCTGCTCACACTGTCACAGTGTCCTGCTCCAGCTATGGCCAGGGTCACGTCCTCCAAGATGGACGACCTTCTTCAGGAGAGAAGTGGCCTCCGTGAACAAAGCCTTTGTCCCACGCCAGGAGCGGGCAGGTCAGAGGGGCAGCTGGGGCTGGGTCTGTGTGTGCCTTTTCTGCTGCTGGCTGGGCAAGGAGTCTCGAGGAAGTGAGGCGGCCCCTGAGCAGGATCTGCCCCTGGGGACACCCACCCTCCTGTGAGGGCAAAGCTGGAGCTGGCTGGCAGTGGCCACACGCCTGAGCCCACCCGTGCTAGTCCCTGGCCTCCATCCTGTGGCCCCAGACCTGGCCAGTGAGGAGAGACCCAGTGGGTGGCCCTAGGTTCCATCCGACACAGGGCAGGGCCCAGGGCCCTCTAGTACAGGTGGACTCCGGCCATCTCGTCCTCAGAACAAGCCCCTGGGGCTGGCCAGACCACTCCCACCCTATGGATGAGGAGACCAAGTCCCTGAGATGTGCCAAGGCCCCATGGAGCTGCGGCTGCTGTTCCGGGTGGCAGCCCGTGGGGGGCAGC